ATTATTGTATATAGTAAATATTAAGTTTAATATATGCCCTAATAAGCTATAGTACCATGTGTGCAGTCTGCAATTCTGTTGCAGAAAGATATTGAATCTATTTAATTACTGTAGAAGAATAACTGGTTTCTGTGCATTTGTTTTACCCTGGCAATAAATTAAAGTCGATCACGTCGATTAAGCATCATGAGGCGGAGGGTGGGGGGTGGTCCCCTATTTTTTTGCTGGGAGTTGGCAACCCTGCTAGTTAGGTATATGTAATTATTGATTAGGTTGTTTGATATTTCTGGTAAGTACTGTTGTAGTGTTGTGGTGTAGGTTTAAGTTTATTCGATTGATACATATATACCAACAAGACAGTGTACATCACTGTCACAAGAGCATTTGTTTTCATTCAAAGGCTTTATGGCTTTTCCTATAATACCTGGTGGGCCTTTCTCTAGTCAAAATGCCCGGGCTGATTTTTCCAGTCCAGTCCTGGGTAGTAGGTACGTTTATTGTTAGGATAACTCCAAAAATGGTGCTCCTTTGTGGTAACTCGCAAAAACAAAGAGAATTTTTTTTCAAAGCAGTTTTATTTATTTAACTTCACTTCTGGACATAATTGGCAAGCTAGTGAAACAATAATAGGCATCTATCTGTATATTATGAAAATGATGTTAAAAAAACAACAACAAATAATCAACTCTGAACAACCTCTCCAAATAATTCATACACCACCTAGTCACATGACATTTTCCCTTTCCACCTTTCAGACACAAATTAGCAAGCACAATGCAAGAAGAAAGGAAAAACTACTTCACACTCAAGTCAAGTCTCAACAAATCGATCGATAAGCTGTGACACAGATTTGGAGGATAACTTTGGTCCGCTTCTTTACTGGCCTCTCTTCCCACTGACAACGAGGCCCATAAAAAGGAAAAAATGTCATTCAGTGAAGCACCAAATCCAAGTGATGTAATTGGTCGACCAGCACAATGGAAACACATTTTCAATTTCATTCATTTTTACCCCCTCACGTTACTATTTTATGTTTGGTGTAATAACTAAAAAGTAAAACTGGCTTATTTAAATGGATTTTGATTTGATATTATGAATACTGAAAGAAACAGAAAATACAAAAGGGATAACAGAATTGTTTTGGTTTTTCCCTCAGTAAATATAAAAGCACTAATAAAAAAAGCCCCAATTGAAGTCTAAGGAGAAGCCAAGAGTTGACATCACAGTGGAACTGTGAAAACAGGAGCAGTCTTCATAAACTGCACTGTGAAGAGTGAAGAAGACAGATTAGATGAGGATTGAATATGTTTATAGATGGAGTACTGAAACACATCTATCCACCCTTTGGAGAACATATGTAGGACAACAGAACATTAATCATGTTCTTGATAATTGGAGGTTGTGGGTGCATGAGGTGTGGCAGGTGGTGGGCCAGAACCATCTCCCAGGCATCCACCAGATGGACATTCAATCCTTTGAATATAGCCTTGAGTGCCTTTAGCCGCTGAAAAGTGGACCAGTCGCTGTTAACAAATGCGCCAAGAAGTGTATAAGGTTTGGGATTTCCAGTCCGAATGACAACCACTGTGCCTGGAGCCCTGGACAGTAGCCGTACCACTGCACCGCGGATGGTCATCAGTCGACGGATGTAGAACCCAATAGGGAAATTGTCAAAGTGTGCTCAGATGCCAAAAACTACTACAGTGTTACTGCCTCCAAGCACATTGTCCAGCTCATTGGCAATATAATGCAGCTCCATGGATGGGACATTGACAGTACGTAGAGGAGGACCATGGGTGCGGTACCTTACAAAGATGTTATTCGCATGGTCCAGGGCCGTTAAAGGTCCAATTGATTTGTGGCTATGCAGGTTAAATTCCTTTAGATCTAAAAGAATTCCAAAGGAAATAAGTTAAACTACATGAATGAAATAGTGTGAATAAATTATTGTTCTTTGCCAGAAAGGTTTGCAGAGCAGCTACCTGGTAGTGCTGCATCAAGGTACTCAAACCACTGCCTCATTGTGGAGTCTCCATACATATGGACCTGCTTTCCTTTCAGACACTGAGTGATGGCCGAGGAAGTGTTGAACTGATGAACGGTAGTGCCACCTAGTGCTCGCCACACACCCTGGTAGTAATAGCCAGACGGTTCAGACTCCACACTGCTGATGCTCACCTCTGACTGACCTGGTAAGCAGTAAAACAGACAATTGTGTGTGTATTTTTACTTGATAAAATACACACACACACAAACAAAGCCTTTCCTCAACCTGTATGTAGCAATAAAACTCAATTAATCTGACAAATGCAGCATATGCAGTGTGCAGACACAGTACCTGGTCTATGAGGCACTGGAAAGTGGCTGGTTAGGGCAAAAGCCAGGGTACACCCTGGACATGTCACCAGTCTGTCACAGCGCTAACACATAAAGACGAACAACCATTTGGACCAGATTCAAATCTATGGACAATTTAGATTGACCAATTAACCAAACCCCACATACTCCATGTCTTTGGACTGTGAAAAGAAGCTGCAGTACCTGGAAAGAACCAATGCAAACACGGGGAGAAAATGTAAACTTTACACAGAAAGGCCCCAACCATGTGTCGGAGTTGAACCCAGGACCTTTTTACCTTCTTGCTACTAATTGCACCACTATGCTACCTGGTTCAGGTATGTAGTTGAAAATAAAATCTCAGGACTTACCACAATTCACTGATCACATTTAGTTGGTGGACCGATACAACATGTTCACCAAGGAGAAAGGTGGCAGGTTAGCCTTCTTGGAGGCCTTCTGTGAGGTTTGCATCAGTAATGACGGACATTTAAAACTTGATGTGTACCATAAAGTAACCCATGCAAATAAGTATTTAAAGTTTCACCATTGGCGTACAAACTGGATGTCATCGCACTGTGAGACAGAGTGAAAACCATCCCCACAGAGAGGCCAGGGAAGATATGGAGATGAAGATTAAGATATAGATGTTAGCAGTAAGATTTGTATTTTTACCTTTCTGCTTTGGAAAAACAGTGACACTGGCAGGTCCTGAAGCTGGAATGGAGACTTTCATGTTTACGCCACTGAGGAAAGTACACACATTACAATCTTTTCACAAAAATTGGAAAGTATTAAAATGATTTTTAAACTAGAGATACAGTGAATCAAATTCAATTTTTTATCATTGTCATATTTAGGTAACAATGGCACATCACTACTGACAATGAAAATTTTAGGCTCAGTAGGCAGCAAACATAGCTTGAGTTATAAACTACCAATCATTAAGCTTCAGACTAGATAGAGAAAATATGGAACATTTTTCCAGCTAGCAAGCTACATAGTTCCATCTCTATTCTAGCAAATCTAACGAGCTTGGAAAGAAAAGCGTCTGGACTTCTTTGAGTTGCTTGAAGACGTTTCACCTCTCATCCGAGAAGCTTCTTCATTTCTAAAGGGTCAAATGGTGGAGAGTCCCAGATTTAAACCCAGTGGGAGTTTCCCCCCAAAGAGGGACAAAGGACCCCCTGATGATCCTCTACCTAATCACATGAGCCAAGGTGTGAAAGCGGGTGTGGGTCAAAATCAGCCATTTCTCTGCAGTTGCCCATAGTGGACCTCATCACAGCCACAGAAACTGCCATACGGATTAATAAATTATCACAGACAGAAGCAGAGCAAATCAGGATGAAAGTCTCAGCCACCCTCTCCAGTGCCAAAGTCTCTCCGTCCAACCTCACAATACAGGAAAAGAAGGCCGTCGCTTCCCTGAGCAAAGACCACAACATCACTATATTACCAGCTGATAAGGGAAGGTGCACTGTGGTCCTAAACACAACAGATTACCACACAAAGATCACTACTCTCAGGTAGTGACAACAATACCTACAAAGCCTTAAAGCGAGACCCCACAAGCAGCTACAAAAAGAAAGTTATAGCTTGCCTTCAAGACCTTGAAAGGGACAAAATCATTGACCGCCTTACATATCACCACCTTTACCCAGGGGATGCCATACCCTGCATTTATGGACTTCCTAAGATCCACAAAGAAGGTGTCCCACTCAGACCCATTGTCAGTAGCATAAACTCAGCCACTTACAACATCTCGAAACACCTTGCTACCATCCTAGCACCTCTTGTGGGGAACACCCCACATCACATCAAGAACTTCACCGACTTCACCGACAAGATCCAGAAACTTACCCTGGACCCAGATGAAACAATGGTGTCCTTTAACCATTTGGTTGGCTTTATACTTGAGAATAAAGTAATATAGCTTGTCCTTCTGAAGAATTAAGTTAAATTCCACAGTTGAATCATAAGAAACATTATGTTACATATAAACCCTGCCATATGTTAAATCTGGTCATTTTGCTTATTAGAAACTTTATATATTGGAAATTAACTTTGAATGTAATGATTATATTTAAATTAGGTGGTCTTTTTCAAACACATATCTCTATAGGCCTAAACTGACAGTGCCAATACCACACATTCAGACACAGTAGTAGATGGTGTTTTTAATACTATATGTGTTAGTCTAATTTGGTTGTATGGGGTCTACACTGACCTTCTGTGTTGTAAGTTACAATGATTGCACAGCCATTAAGGATCAAATCAGCTTCTAAAAAAATTTCTGTTTTTTCTCCCTCTGCTTGCTTCTTACTGTTTTTGAGGCTCGGGACCAGCACTCCTGCTGTTGGACAGAAAGACATCGACTCAGTGGTAAGTATTTTGGTCTTCCAATATATTAGCAATTGTCAGTGACATTTATATTAATAAGGCTGAACTTTAATCATACTTTAGATCAGCCTGTTTTACTTATTGTTTTATTTGT